TTGCCTATTGATTGGTTTCACATCCAGTGCCAATATTTTCGAATATTTTTTTTTGACTATTATTAAAATTCAGGCAAAGAAACAATCACTGATACAATTTCCGACAAAAGATTCTGAATTTCCACTTGTACCTCATTCTGTATGTGGATCGGTGTTATCCTATCTTTGTCTTGAATCGGGAAAAGAGTGTATTTGAAGTTCGAATTCACAAGTGGTTTGTTGAAATTCCCTGTCTTTCGAACAAGTCTTAAAGTTTGTATTAAGCATTTATTTTTCCAACCTTCTGATTGCTCGCACAGTAGCGCAACACACCTTGATTATTCTTTTGGAGCAGGTCTCTCTATGGCCGATATAATCACTTGTCCTTGGAGGTCCAAGCTCAATAATCATCAAGTTCTGCGTTGCATTCTGCTACTAGGAACGTGGATCACTTCACCTCCCAGCCTGCTGTACGTAGGTTTGTCTTTAGAGCCCCCAGAATAAGGATCGTTTTATATTTTCTCTACCGATATAAACCGATATAAATCGTGCTCTCTTGGCTTTTTCTATAATGTCTTTTGATGTTGCCTAGTTTAGGAAGATACTGGGTTTGCCGTGTCAACCATTAGTTGTATTATCTGATTCTCTTTTCGTACCATAGTCTTAAGTGCATTTACTTTGTTGGATTTTGGGTCTCTAAGAAGATCGATTATTTTTGTATTCTCACTTTCTCCAAATTCGTTAGTCCATTTGTTCAAGTTAGTCAGATTGACTCAGTTGTGTACCTAAATTTTGAGTTGAAGTGACTTTGGTCAATAAAAGAATATAAATATAGATCACTCAAGGTTACTTTACCTGACTGCTATTGCAGTAGCGGTACCACAATTTTTTTGCAATCCAAAGCGCACTTTTGACGACCTAGGGGGCGAATTTCGAGACTTGTTCAGAATTTCCAATTTGGGTGTGAAAGAGGGCTAGACGGGACTTCCTAAATTTCAATATAAATCTGGTGCCTCAACCCCAATAAAACAAACGTTTTTTTTGCAAGATCAATCAGGAATCAAAAACATCGGCACGATATATTGTACCCTCCGAAATTTGAGGTGATCAAGGCAAATTTCTGCAGCACAGTTTGGTTTTTTGCTCTGAAACATATTTTGTGGAAAAAACTGACGATAGAGTGCACAAACAGTGTCCAGTGGATATTCTGTACAAGATCTGAAGTTCGTAAATTTCTACATAAGTTATTTCTCAGATCTAAAATTTGTCCTTTTAGATCTTTGGTGAATCATAACAACTATAACTTTTTTGTTGAAAATCGAAAAAATCAAGTTTTCGAAATGGGTACTTACGAGGCCAAACAATGCACTGGATAGGCGCACAATTTTGTGTCTGTATGTTCCTGGATTCCAAAAACTGATCTTTGAACAAGCTCGAAAATGGAACTAGGGTCGACTACCAAAACATTACAGTTGCGGATTCTGCAAAATCTCAACTTAACTATACATATATTTTATTGTTTGTTTGTGGATTCCACAAATTTTTCAGGATACTGCAAATGCGGTTGCGGATTCCGCCTAGTCGCCAAGTTTTGGAGCAATTATGAGCGGTAGAGTTTTGTGGGCATTTGTTTGTGGAATTCAAAACAGCAAAGAATATAAAAAAAAGTAGCAATGTTGCGAATTCCGCAACAAGTCTGATTTTGGCCTGATGCGGAATCCGCTTACAGTGCACAGAATGCACAAATTGGCCTCGTAATAGTTGCTTAGTTTCCATTTTAATTCTCATTAATAGTTTTGCGCTAATAGCTTGCATAGTTTCTACGTGCCTTGTTGATCATGAAATTCTTAAAACCGATCAAAACTGCCTTAAAACAGGTAGATTTCAGCCTGCAAAAAGTAGATTGGTTTAGATGAAAGCCATGAGCTCGACGGCATTGCAGAATTTATACTGTAGAGTTTTCTTGAAATTGTTTAATGAAAAATAATTTTAACGATTTCTCAACAATAAATTCTTTTGCATTTACCTGATTTGTTGAAGTTTTATTTTGCAGGTTGTTGTGTTTTTATTGGGTTAAACTGTATCAAAAACAATAATCTGCTGAGCAGTTTCTTTAAACTTATGAATGCACCTAGGAAAATATACACTTTTTGAGTTTTATATTAAACTGCTAAAGGGCAGTAAAAATGCGCTATCCAAATACGATTGTGAAAGTGGCGTGAAAAAACGCGATCGAGTTCTAGGTTCAAAAGAAAAATTCAATTATTAGTTTTCCCAACGAAATAAAAATTTTACTTATTGATCAGATTCCACGAAAATTTTGAAAAAATGATTCGAGAAGCACTGGTTATTTCATTGAAAGGTTTTCTAGATACTGGTATCACAAGTTTTTCATTCATGATTCAGATTCTAAAAAAAAAAAAATTACTCGATATCGAGAAAAACTGATACAAGTTTTTTAATTTTTTTTTCGAACGCTGCTATCAGAAAGTTTTCAGCCATGATTCGTTTTCATAAATAATTCTTCAAGAACCTAAATCAAAAGGGTCGGGAACCAATGAATATGGCGGAGTCATGTTTAGTTTTGTCAGCTTGTTTGTTAAATGAAGTTATCAGTTTATGGAAAGAAAGTTTCGTTTTTGCTTAGGAACAAGATCAAAAACAACAAATACAGATGTCTGGAGGGCCTAGAAGACAACTTCATGCTCATATGATAGAATGTACAGGCTTATAACGTTTTCTGGGATCTTTGAACAGTGATGAAAAGAAACATTTCATATTAAAACATTATGAAGAAATTGTTTTGAAATGTTTTTCATACGTATTTTTGTATCATTTTGAACCAACTTTCACGTGTTAAAAAACAATTTAACCAAACTGAGCCAAAAAAAGTTAGACCAGATGTAAATGTGGGGGCCATAGAACACAAACTTTCAGATCTGAAAGTAGATTTGAATTAAATTTTGTCACATCTGAACAGCCAAATCAAACAAGATTTCAGATACGAAGTTAGATCTGAAACAAATTTTTCTGAACTAAAATTCAGTCAAGGGGCATAGAAGCCAGCAAATGAACGAAGTTTTTGTTCACGTTTTGTTCGTTTTCTCTGCAACTATTTAAGATACTGGGCTTGCATTTCGACAAAAGGTTGATTGAACTAATTGAAAGGGCTTAACCAGGCTAAAACTTGAGAAAAAACAGGTTTTGAAAAAGGTTAATTAGCCAGCATATCATGACTAGTTTTCTTGCTGTGGAAACAAACTCACAAACAATATGAGGATCTTGAATTTTTAGGCCCAATTTATTTCTTTCGATAGCTGATGAGCTTGACTTCCTCATTATTTTTCCTAAAATGACAGTTAACTGAAGTAACAAAGTTATTTGGTCCGGCGTAAGAAAACGGCGTAAAATTTTTTGAATAACTTTGCTCTGATGATCGAATTCGGTCATCAAAAAACCATACCAGTAGCAAATGTTTCTCAAAACTACTGCCTTAGTCTAAGCACATGAGTCTCATTAGCAGTTTTGTTAAGTGTAAATTCTGTCCAATTTCTTGGTATAAGCCACCAAGAAGTTTTAGTAAATGGGTCAAGAAAACAGATATGATCGTTTCTCGACACCGGACCGAGTAACTTTGTTAATTCTGTTATTTGTCATTCTTAGGTAAATAATGAGTAAATCAGGCTCATCAGCTTCCCAAATAACTAATTTGAGCCCAAAAATTATATCTTAAATTGTTGCAGAGAACACAATAAGAACGTGAAGAAAAAGTTCGTTCAATTTTTGCTGAAATCAAAAAGTTGCAACTTCTATGTCCCGTGACTGTGACTATGAAAAAAAAATTTGATATTCTTAACGTAGCCAAGCATTATTTCAACATTTCACAACCCATTTTAGATTTGATATTTGGATCTGAAATTATTATTTCAGATCTGAATTAAAAATTTCACTAGGTACGGGTAGCAAGTTAAAGGAGCATCAAAAAGGTTATTTCAACTGCCTGTATGCTAAAATCCATCAAATGACAAAGTCTGATCAGGACAGTGAACTTATTAAAGGGCAAAGCAAACAAAATGAAGGCATTTTGGCGGTTCATTGGACGAACAAGGCGGTAAACGAATAATTGTTTCACAAAAATTTGCCCTCAAACTAACAAAACTAAGTCTAACTGCTGTAATAAAATGTGATTAAAAATTTGTCTAATACTTTTCTTTTAATTAAGTGCCTTTACTTCTGCTTGGTGGCTTTACTTTCTCTCATAAGTTCACTGTCTAGAATAGACATGTCTTCTTGTCATTCACCCTCAGTTCTATAGCCCCGTAAAAATGAGATTGGCTGCATTGTCAAATTTCAAACTTAAGAGTGTTGATGGTCCATTGAATTGATGATAAACTAATCAACAAAAACTGTTCAGGATGCTAATAATGATGTAGCTTATATACATCAGAAATCGCAACAAGTTTTCAACAAAAGACAATAAAAACAGCTCACGAAGACAATTGGTATGCTTGATCTTCTATCAAAGACCAATAAGCACATTCAAATGCAGCTTTAAAGGATAGATGCGAAGAACATCTACTTCATAAATAACACTTCAGCAACCAATTTTGAAACCTTTGTCACGCAAGACTATACACTGAAGTATGAAATGACGCAGTTTTGACTTTCAGTTCATCAAATCAGAAACATCATTTTCTTCGTTTTCTCAGTTCAGTAAGCAACAGAGCTATGTATTATTTATGACAGGTTTTTGACTAAAAATCCTTAAATTCAGCAAGTGCACTTATCGAGAATTTTTTTTGGATCTGCTTATTTTTTCAGAACTTTTCATTTTAAAAGCTAAGATCAAAAAAAATGCAAATAGAGCCACTTTTATTCAGAGACTTTGTTCCTATAAGGTCAGAATAAACATCTTGTGTTTTTGTGTTTTTCGCATCGCTAAGTTCAATCAACGAGAATTTCAAGTGCGTAGGAAAAGCAAAAAAAGCACAAGAGGAGAAAGGAAAGTTCTCAATGACAGACTGATACCATATGGCGCGCTTGCGAAACTACCAAAATAATTTTTTTTCAATAGTTCTTCCATAAGAATTTTGTAGCTAACGGTTTTAATTCTTTGTTTAAACCATTAATTTTTCTAATCCCTTTTAACATCTATTTCTCTGCGTCATTTTTTTTGTTATTTCAAAAGAATCTAATTCAATTACAAGAATTATTTCTTTGTTTCAACCATTTAATTTTCTAATCCCTTTTAACATCTATTATTCTGCGTCATTTTTATTACAACAACTTTCTCGCTTTCAAGAGCGCAAAAACACTAAAATGTAACCAAAGAAATAAATAGTATTAAAAAGATATAACCGATATTAACTTATTGAATTAATGATAAATGGGTGACCGTGTTCAAATTCGACCATCAACGCGACGAAAACTTCCCGAAGTTCCGAGTATTGTGACTTACTCTGAAAAGACCAAGATTTCACCATACGAAGATGACGAATGTTACGACCACGTTAATCGAAGAAAAATCAGCCAGAGCAAAAACCCAGCCAATAAAACGAAGACCAAATCCCACAAGAAGAGAAAACAACCCGATTATTTAATGGAAAAATTTTACAGAGAAGAAAATCGCGTCCGATTGGCTGAAATAGTGACCAATGAAGTTGACTCTAGACAGTATCCAATGACAAGTGGGTATGTGAATAGGTGGCTCGTTCACTCTCACGAGAACGTATCTGTGTTTCACGCCGATTGTAATGTTTGTGTGACCAAGAGATGTGAAGAAGTGTTAAGTGCCGACGACAGCGAAATTGATGAGACAAATATACCTTTGGGTTTGAAGCTTCAGAACCCATTGACAGAGAGAGATCTCGCGTAAGTACTGAGTTTTCAAGTACTCAAGTCACAGATATATGCGCAGAGGCGGATTTAGGATTTTCTCGAGGGGAAGGGGCGGATTTTCAAAATTTTTATTGACCTTTTTTAAAGTCGACCAAATTGGTTTTCCGAGCGCTCCAAGAAACTACAAAGGCCCCGTGTGACCAAAAATTTTCCGCCGCAGGCAAATGTTTGAAAAATGCTGTCTCAAAAATGCGATCTCAAAGTTTTTGAAAAAAAGGTTCCAAAACCAGTCTAAAAAATGCCGTCAAAAATGTCTTAAGAAAATTTTAGGGTTGGCCGGCCTAAAATGGATTTGATGAAACAATACCAAAAGGGCACCCTTAGGTTGGTGAGGGGGAAAGGGAAGAGATCGACCTCCAACCCAGTCGCACGATCAATTAGTTCCAGAACTTGAGTCCAGATGATTTCAAAACGGTTTTATGAGTACGATTATTATTGGTCTAGTAATCTGATGATATTAATAAGTACCGTGCCCAGGAGAGCGAGGTTGGCGGGTGTCCGCTGTTGTCTATTTTCGCTCAGTTCTGGCTGCCAAATTTTCGAGAGGGTATTTTTTTCGTACAGATTGCGCAGAAAATCCAAACTTCGAAAGGGCTGACCTAAAAAAGTCAATTAAATCTCCGCATGACAAAATTCTTGAGAACGCCGCTGATAGCAAACTATGTCAAAAAATCAAATCTTTCTAAGTTCCTTTGTAAGCTAGAAATATTTTTGGCAGCTTTAGTATTTCTGGAGACCATTTTCGATTGCTCGAAAAATAGTTTTCAAGAAGTTTATTAGATACCCGATAAATATTGTCTGGCCTTATATTCATATTTAAACATTTTTTTTTCTATTCTATCGTCAAATATGATAAAAAACAAACGGAAATAGGGGTCTTTTTACCTAATATTCCGCCCAAAAATCAATAATTCAAAACATCTTGAACTGAAATGGTTTTGCTTCAATCCAATTGGCTAGAATTAGGCAATCCAATTTGAGCACCATCTCCAAATATTTTGTTCACAATTGTAATTCGACTGATAAACATGCCCCGGATTTTAGTTAAGTAAAAAAAACGATTTTAGTTAACTAAAAAGTTTCTTAAAAACCAAAGAGTTAGTTGAAGAAAAGTTAAGTGAAATTCGCGTTTTTATAAATATTTCGGCAATAATGGCAATAAAAGTTATCACTTTCAAAAAGTTTTTCGTTGAAAAATGTAGCGAGTCTGAGAGAAAACCCAAGTATTTCAAATTTTGACCAGTTTTTTGAAATTTTATTTTTTGTTTCTTACGGCATCTAACCAACTCCCCCGTTTCATGTGATTACCGGCAAAGATGTCAATGTCGGCGTATAATTTAAAATATTGTCGGTATTCTGGAGAATTTCGGCAGAACTATTTAAAATTACCCGAGTTGACCTCCATAGACCAAAAATGCTAATCATACAACTCCATAAATTAAGTCTATGAAAAAATACTAATTATTCAAGGTTCATACATTTTGCTAAAACTGTTTCGTCGAATTTTCGAAAAAACTTTTATCTTGTTTTGGCATAAAATTCGGAGTATCGTACTAAATAAAAAAGAAAAAATTTTTGTCAAATCTAGCATTTTTTTGATGACTACGACGAAAATTTTTCAAAGTATTTTTGAATTTGCCCCCAAAATTTTTTTCTGTGTTTTTTTTCAAACGCAAATTGATATTCGTACTCAAATAAACATTTTTTGGAAAAAAAATTTTTTGCATGCAAAATTTAATTTTTGTGTGTATAACGTAGGCCTGGATATACTAATATTGGATTTTTTACCTTTTCTCTTCATAAATTTTTTCAAAAACGCTTAACACTCCTCTTGTCTTTTTATGACCTGTTTTGTTTTTGTATGCCTTGATCAATATCTGGTTATTTAAAAATTCAAATTTTAGAAATAATCACCTTTGAAAATTTTTGCCAAAATTTAAAAGTTTGCAACTTTATTCGTTATATTTTTTGTGTAAGAAATAATTAACGCATTTAGGCGGTTTCCAATGCACTATTAATGCGAGACGGCAAAACCTTTGGATACTACGTTTGAGTAACCAAGGTTTATTTCATTTGTGTTCGGTTACGAACACAACCAAAAAATTTTGAGAAATTAAAATGTTAAAAATCAATATTTTTGGTTTATGGAAAAATGCTAGTCATACAACTTCCGTATATGAAACAAGACTGCTCGTATCAGGGCGAATCCCTGAATGTTCCGTCTGCCTTTTAAGGTTTTATGGGGCAGTAATAACAACATTAAAAATTTAAATGTATTAAAATAAAATGAATTTTTTTTTCTAAAATTTGAATTTTTTAAATGAAAATCATCCTCCACACGCCATATAGATTACAAAAGAAGAGATTTCGCTCCTTATATCAAATCAATTAGTGACAAATAAGCGTCTTCCAACCAATTTGGAACGATTTCTAAGACGGATTAAATTTCCGCTTACACGTTAATAGCGAGTTAATAGCGCGTTAATTATCCCAAATTGGCCAAAATGGCAATCTTTAAACACCTATGACTTTACAAAAAATGTTCACAGGTGAAATATCTTTTCAAATTTGAGCTCAGGGCAACAATACCTTTTGAATGATTAAAAAAAATTCCGTCAAAAATGGCTAGTTACAAAGTCGAAATTTGTCTGAAGAAAAAAAACCCACCCCGAGCACAAATATTCCGTTACTTTTGTATCGAAAGTCGGTCAAAAATATTAATCATAGACCTTTCATGCAATTTTCTGTACTGATGGAATTGCATGAAAAGTTTATGATTACCATTTTTTCATATATGAAAGTTGTATGACTAGCATTTTTGGTCAACAAGGGTAAACGCATCTCGTTGATTAGTTTATGATTTCCATTTTCTCAGAAATAGATAGTTAACTGCAAAAAATAGTCCTTTAGCTAAAATCCCAGGCCTGCTAATAAATCAGCCGAATTGGTAAATAAAAACTGATTCTTTGGTAAAATGTTCAAATTCGTTTGAAATAAACTGCAGAATTTCACCCTGACTAGAGCAAAATACAGAAAATAGCTCCAGGCAAAAATTACCACATTCAAATCTGCTCAAAATTTGGCCTTGTTAGAAATCGGTTTCAGGCTAAAGTGATCGCGTTTTCCGTAGTCAAGTCAATCAGTGCGATCAAGGTTGTGTTTTCTGCATTTATACTTTGAATAATGTAAAGAATTAGCAAAACTTAAAAATTTGGGTGGAATAAGAAATTAACACGCATAACATACACCAAAGCAGGTTAACTATGCGCCCAAAAGCGTTCATTCTAGTAGGCGGACGTTAGCTGATTGCTCGAAGAAATAACAGTTTAGCACAAACTGTTTTCTCATCTTGAGGTCCCATATTGTTAATCGTTTGGAAATCTCGTAGTACCACAGCAATAGCCTTTTTCCGTCGCTGAATCTCTTATAAAAAGTGAATGTTAAGTTGCAAAATCGGCTATCTCTCAGAGTCTTCTCAGTAACGTTTCAATGGATACTCATTTCTAAAACTTTCGAGATTTCTTTCAAAATCTCCAATATTGTAATTATTGCTTCTAGCACACAAGTTATTGACTCAAGAATGGTGCAAAATTACAATGTGTCTACGTTTTGGGATATTGAGTGTTAAAGCTGATTTAATTGATGGCTCAAAAGTCATCAATATTTCTTCGCGAATGCTGGTGAAAAACTGCTAAGATCTTAATAAAGAGTTAAGATGTACCAATGGTAACTTGTGTATCTAACTAAAGTTAAAAGAGGATAAAAGTAATGTTTGAATTAAAACTGACTGTAGTCTAAAAAGAGCAACTAGTGACTCGAAGTCCACTGGACTTCGTAGCGTTATAATTGACTGGTACGTAATTAGGTCATAGAGGTCAAGGTTATAACATACCAAAAATACTGAATCACAACATTCCCCAGTGCACAAAAATTAATATCTGCCCGCTCAATGATGTAACCAATATCACACATATACTCCATCTCCCCTCGCTCCACCAGGGCCAAAGAAGAAACAAAACGTAACCGCATTTTGCACCAATGGATTTTTACAGAGAGTACAAATTACAATGGAGGTAATTATATGGTGATATATACAGGCTACTTACAAGTTTACACAGATATCAACACTGACTGTACAAAATGATATGTACAATTGGGTTTATGTGATGTTTGTACAATTAAAGACAACTAACTAACTCACTAACTAGGTAAATGCTACACAAGAGAGAAAAAAAAATAATCTGGGTATCCAATGGATACAAGCTAAAATCAAATACGTAACATGTCATGTTACCACAGTTTAAAAGTTTTAGGAGTTTGAGGCCGTAGAATTGTATCTAGTATGGAAATTATCTGCTTCTAATCTTACATCAGTGTCGATGCCCGAGGAAATGTCACTAATGTTGTCCTCCTGAGTGTTACTGGTAACTTCTACCAATGGTGGCGATACCCATGCAGTCCTTATCGCCTGAGAGGAAGGTGTTGACAGTTCGTCTTGTGTGGTTTCAGCAACCAAAATCGTATGACGTGGGATCTCGTCGATGGGTGTGAGATAATCGGAGGGGGACGTCATACAGAATGAGGGAATTTGTTTCGGACTCTTCGCCCCGGAAAACGTAATAAGCGGTTCGTCATCGGAGTCTACTGCACTCATCGTCTCAGTACTGAGCGTCACTTGGACGATAAACCGTCTATCGCCATAGAATTTCGGGGGGCCTGGATTTCTTCTAGCACGATGTTTTGAAGATATCGGGGTTTTTGGTGTCTCCACTGTCTTCTCCGGAGAGCTATCTACTCGAATTGGGTCATCGCTTGTGCCCGTTGGTATATTGCAAGTTGTCTCAGTGTTGGTCTGGCTTTGTGTGGTACTCCTTGAATGATCTAAATTACTATGAAGTTTAACAGTTGGTGTATTATATACCATTTCCGCATCCGTGCCCAAGTAGTCGTCAATGACTTTATCCCAAAGGTCT